CRTGCCTGCCCCGGCGCAGGGCAGCCAGGGATGCCAGCTCTGCCAGGGCTGGGGACAGACCACACGCCTGCCAGGACTGGTGACAGGGGTTTGTGGCAGGGTTTGGTCTGATGTGGGATTTTAGGGCACAGGGGAGTTTGGTTTTGGCAGCGCTACGTGCACGGGAGAGCTGCCTGGACTGCCCTGCCTGCTTCGTGTGCTAAAAAAAGGACAATAAATACCAGCTCGGTGTCTGTCTCGCTCAGAACTGCTTTTACCTGCTCRTGCCGGTGGAGACAACCCGGGCCTGGAGTGTAGAACATTCTGGCCGTGCCCCCGTGCCCCATCCTGCGGTGACAGACCCCCGGGCAGGGGACAGTGCCGTGTCCCTGGGGTGCAGAGGGTTTGGGTGCTCTCAGGGGCTCCCTTCACCCCCACCAGCTCTGTGCAGCCTCACCCACAGGCTCCATCACCAACCCCTCCTGGCCTCAGCACTTGGGCAGGGGRTGGTTCTGGGGTTTGGGTCAGGGATGCTCGTGGGTACCACTCAGGGATGCTCCTGACCCCAGAATGGCCCAGCTTGATCTGGGAGTGATGTCATGCCATGGATTGTCACACATMTGAGAGGGCTCTGTGCTGCAGGAAGAGAAAAGGAGGTGTCTGTCCCCGTCCCTGTCATTGTCTCTGTCCCTGTCATTGTCCCTGTCCCTGTCCCGTCCCAGCTGAAGGTGGGAAGGGGTTAACGGATTTACCCCACTCACCTCCCAAAGCCCGTTCTGGTCTGAGCCCGCCCTGGACGCACCCGCCAAGGGTTAACCCGGCCCGGGCTGTTCAAACACCTCGGCTGAGGTAAGCGCTGCTTGTTTGTTCAGGTAAATAAGGAAGGAATTGGATATAATGGGCGAAGGAGGCTCTGGCTGAGCCCTGACACTGCCGGCGTCCCCCTCGCTCAGCCGCCGCTGCCTTCATCCCTCGGGGTGCCCCGTTCTCCCCGCTGTCCCGTCCCTCCGGTGCCCACCGGGGGCCGATGGTGCGGGCGCGGAGCGGGCGCTGAGCGGGCGCGGTGCTGCCGGCCGCGCTCCCCGCCGGGGCTGGGACAGCCCKCCCGGGGCCATGTCCCCCGCAGCCACCGCGCCGAGCGCCACCGGGACGGCTCTTCCCACCCTGCGCTGGCACCCATGCGGATTCTGAGCCCGCACACCCTCCAGGTAAGGCCCCCGAGCTGCCGCGAACCCCGGTTCCTCCAGCGCCCACCCAGCCCAACTTCCCTCCCTCCAGGGWGTCCCACTTTCGGCGCTAATTTGGGGTGGACTCGGTGTTGTCCCGTGTCAGCATCCCATCCCGCAGCTCCCTGCACCTTCAGGTGTCATTAGGGCTAAACAGGGAGAGGTCATCCCTCGGCACGAAATTCCTGGAATTTCTCTGGAATGGTGTCACCCAAAATGAAACAGGGTTTGCTGGTTTTGTGTCTTTGCAATCCCCTCCTGCTCCAGCAAGGAGGATGGGATGGAGCCAGGACTGCTGGGGCTGGCTCCTGTTGAGCCCCGCTGGCAACAGCTGGGACACCCAGCGTGCCACCATCCCCGGTGCCAGGCAGGGGACAACGAGCCTTGGGGCACTGTGTGACAAACCAGACCCTTTACAGGGTGTGACAGACCCTTTATAGGGTGTGACAGACCCTTTATAGGGTGTCCTGGGTGGCTGTGAGGAGTTGCCACCTCCGGGGAGTCTCTGTGAAGCTGAACCCCTTTTCCAGACCCGCGCTGTCCCAGCTGCTTTCCTGCTGAGGTGATTTTTTTTTTTTTTAATTTTTTTTTTTTCTGTCAGCCCTGAAGTCCCTTTGGCCGCGGGTTTGGTTTTCGTGGTTCTGCTCGGTTAGTGAAACACAAACGCCGCCAGGGTGCCAAATCCCCACAATACGGGCGTTCTTTGGGGCCGGGAGCACGGGGGGGAAGGTGCTGCTATAAATAGGGGCTCCCTGGCCCCGCATGGGGAACACCAAGCTCCGCTGCTCACCTGGGGGACACGGAGCGCCAGGCTTTGCTCAGGTCACCGGGGCTGTGCCTGTCGCCTGTCACCGCTGTTTGCCTCCCTGCGCTGATGGAGAGGGCAGCCTGACCCGGGGCGTGGGGACCAGCGGCGACACCTGGTCCCCGTGCCAGCAGCCATGCAGGTAACGGCRGGAGGAGCCAGGGGAGCTCGGTGGTGTTGGAGGAGCTTGGTGGAGAGCTGAGGGTCTGCGGGACCCGGCACTGGCTGCATCCCCCCTAGGGGGACATCAGAGTGAGCCCGGGGCTTGCCCTGGCCCCGAGCCTGTCACCGTACAGGTACCAGAACCAGCGCACCCGGGCTGTCACCTCCCCAGTCCCCCCTCCTCTGTCCCCTCCCCAGCCCCCTGCTCTGTCCCCTC